CGGGGAGCGCGGCTCGGGGAGCGCGGCTCGGGGAGCGCGGCTCGGGGAGCGCGGCTCGGGGAGCGCGGCTCGGGGAGCGCGGCTCGGGGAGCGCGGCTCGGGGGAGATGGAGATAATATGGTGATGGGATTTTGGATCGATCTCAGCGGCGGCGCTCCGCGCGGTGGCTCTCGGGGGAGCGCGGCTCGGGGCGCGGCTCGGGGAGCGCGGCTCGGGGTGGCTCTCGGGGGAGCGCGGCTCGGGGAGCGCGGCTCGGCGGAGATGGAGATAATATGGTGATGGGATTTTGGATCGATCTCAGCGGCGGAGCGTGGTGGCTCTCGGGGAGCGGCGTGGAGATGGAGACAATATGATGGGATGGAGATAATATGGTGATGGGATTTTGGATCGATCTCAGCGGCGGAGCGTGGTGGCTTTGGGAGCGTGGTGGCTCTCGGGGAGCGGCGTGGAGATGGAGACAATATGATGGGATTTTGGATCGATCTCAGCGGCTTTGGGAGCGCGGTTTTGGGAGCGCGGTGCGGCTCGGGATCGCGGTGGCTCTCGGGGCTCTTGGGGACAGCGGCTCGGGAGCGCGGTGGCTCTCGGGAGCGCGATGGCTCTCGGGGAGCGCAGTGGCTCTCGGGAGCGTGGTGGAGCGTGGTGGCTCTCGGGGGACAGCGGCTCGGGAGCGCGGTGTCTCTCGGGGACAACGGCTCGGGAGCGCGGTTCGGGAGCGCGGCTCGGGAGCGCGGAGAGCCACCGCGGCGTGGAGACAGGATTTGCCTCTTGACAGTGGAAGGATAACGGGCCTTTGCCTTCCGAGCCCACTATGACCCAGTTAGCTGATTCCGATTGGATTTTTTTTTAACTTCGAAAATTAGTTGGCCTTTTTGTGAGGTTTTTCTAAAACAGGATTTTCGATTCGATATTTGTCGGCCCTCCTGGGCTACATTTGAATGTGAAGAGTATTTTCGTGCACGTCTTTTTGTCCTAGTTCAAATTTAGAAGGTATGCAAATTTTAAGGATCTTTTAATTATGAAATTAAGGTCTAAAATAGGATCCGATAGATACTTACCTTAATTGTCTCCACTATTTAAAAATCACACATCGTCTTCTTTAGTGTTTACACCATCTTCCATCTCCAAGACTACAAAGTACCGTTCCACCTATTTTCTTTCTCTTTAACATTCTCCTCCCACAAAAGGACATGAAAAGCGTGTTAGAAACCTTAGACAACACCAACGTTGTTATTGGTTCTTCTGGTTGCAATGGGAATGGATTGGTACGTTGTAAGGAATGTTGTCTCTAGTGAATGTTTTGGTTTCACAGAAGAAAAAGCATTAAAGGGATATATACTTGAAATGGCTTCAGGTTCAAGTTATCATGTCCCTTTAGACCTCAACTGTTTTTTTCTCATTGACGTTTGTATTTTACATGTTATAAACTAAAAATGGTACATTCTACTTGCTAGTTACTGTAATTGTCGAGTTATTCAAGGTAATATATATATTTATCAAGAATATTTGTGTAAGAACTATGATTTGGAGAAGATTGTCTTCTTTGGTGGTGGAAAAACTTAACAGAATGTTGTTCCAGGACACTGGACCAAGTTCCTATGTTGTTATTTGGACCACTCCCTATAAATATTGGTTTGTTAATTGTGAACCCAGTTAAGCTTACAGAGTTAATATGAGTCAAAAACATTGAAGGTTTGGGCATATTTTGATCTTTCTACAGGTTTAGACCTAAGTTTGTTGCTCGCTTATTTATTGTCATGTCTACAATATAATGAGTTAATTATATATTATGATGTTTTTATAAAAATATGTATTTATGGTGTTATTATAGTATTGATAGATAGATAGATCAAAAAATCACTGCATGTTTAAGAAAAATAATATTACAAAGGAAAACCTCTACAAAAGTTACAAATTAAATTTCAAAGGGTTTAGTTCTAAGTACTTTTGAGCTTTATGGTTATTATTTTTCAGTTCATACATATCATCATGTTCTATTCTCTGGCTAAAATTTGGTCCGGATGGGGGTGGGGGAGGATAATAATACAGCCAAAAAAATGTTTTATTTGCCAAGAAAGCGAAGTATCAAAGAACACTGACCGAATACACTAGATCGGATTGATTGGGCTCTACATTTGTAAAGATGACTAAGACACTCCCGTAAATATTGGCTTTTCTACTTTTCAATTGTTTCTTTCCTTCACAAACAAACATGTGTTTGTTGCATGTTTATGAGTGTTCATATATATATGATCAAAGGTGGTTTGTCATGTAATGTCCCAATCAAGTTCTGTTGATCTTTAGATGACAAACGATTTGATGTTTCAGGTTTGTTAGAGATGAAAATCTGATAGCTTAAATTCTAAGTTTCCCAATCTATTCACATGATCGTACAGCCTCGTCATTCATGTTTTCAAATATATCCTTTACGTATAGACACCTACAAATATGTTGGATGTTTTCTAATTAAAATCTCCCAAGATTAAACTTTGAGTATAATTTCCCCGCGACATTGTAAACAGAAGGCAAAAGCTATAAAGATATATCATCTAATATTCCTACTTATTGGAAAGATATACTGTCTCATACGACGATGGATAATCAGCCACACAAACAAATATATAGAAACTATCGAAACTTTTCAAAGTGATGAAAAGCTATAGAAAATGATATATTTATGTTGTGTATATATAATATGGTTATATTTATATACTCAATAAGTCATTGCTGATGCAAATACATACAAAAACTTCAATCAAAAGACAGTTCTCGAATCAAGGATAAAACAAAACAATGTGAAATTATTATCATGATGATAGGTATACCTTTCTGACATTTTTTTTAACCAGACGGAACATTTTTTTAATAGTAACTATGTTAACTATTAAATAATTTTACAGTGTCTCCAATATGAATTCTCTTAATGTGCATACACAAAAAGGCTGGAGACTAGGGCAGAATGATAAGTAACTATTGATGGGAAAATTAATCAAATGACTAATCAATATAAGTCTAAAGAACTAAGATTAAATAACCTAACTCTTTTAATTATATAATTCACGATCTTAGATTTCTTCATGTCACTCTTCTTCTTAATCTCCTTATATGTCCTCATTTCCATATACAAAAATAGATTATATAGAAGATCTAAGAACTAATCAATAAATATATTTTTGAGTCATAATGGTAGAGATAGAGATTAAAAGAGAACTAGAAGTGATGGTGATGATACATAGTAGATGGGTCATGATGATGCCGACTCATACCTTCCCTCTGACTGTTATGGTCGTCGCCATGATCCACACCCGGTCCCATCTGACCCGGCCCCGCTCCAAGGTTGAGATACACAAATCTTGAATCCAAATTGTTATTACTTCCTCCACTACTTCCACTATTACGCTCATCGTTCATCTGAGGGTAAATCGCATTGTTGTGATCATTATTGTTGCTATTGTTTCCTTCTTCTCGAGAGATAACCATTGCAGCGGATTGAACAAGCTCAAGGCAAAGCCTAAGCTTGTTCGGTTCAATGTGAGTCAATCCAGGAACTGCACCCTTGAACAAAAAATCCGAAGTTAACGTCCTAAGTATATCAAGAGGAGTGATTCCACCCACCGTCCTTACATTTGGATCTGCATGGTGGTCTAACAAAACAGCCACCATGTCGGGAGAGACCATTTCAGCCGCTATGTGCAAGGGTGTTTTCCCTGCGGGACCTGCCGGGTAGTTCACATCGGCTGCTCCAAGTTCAAGCAAAGCCTTCACAACTTCTCTACTACAGCTTTCAACAGCGTAATGCAATGCTAATGACTCATCAAGATTGAGTCCTTCTCCCATAACCATTAGCTTCACTAGCTCGACATCAGATGAATCCAAAGCTCGTCTCATCCTTCTAATCTTTTGATCTTCGAGGTCTTGAGCGACGGTGAGATCATGGTGGTGGTGATGTGGCATTAGAGAACGTCTAGCTATTGAAGATTTGAGACGAAGCTCTTCAATCTTTGCAACAACATCTATGGTGAGATGTTTGGCTAGAATCTCTGGTGGGAGGCCAGATTTGGCTACTAAGTGAGAGCAAGTGGTCCATAATTGATGCATGTCTTGCTTCCTTGATGCTATTAACACTTTCATCACATCTTCTATTGATGCTTTCTCCACCATGCTTACTAGTTGTTTCTACCAATAATACAAATAGTTTAATTGTTAGTGCTAAATACAAGGAACCGACATATTTTCAGCAAGTGGGTATAATTCATTTTCTTGTCATCTCAGAAAGATGTTTTGATGATGGAGTAGGTCTCATTCGTTATCTATGGATTATTATCAAAACACACAAATGAGGAAATTTGAGGGAATAGTGGGATTGTACAAAAAATTAATACTACAAAAGTGAATAGATCCAACTAAATAATATAGCTCTTCAAAGTTTCTACTATAAGTAAAAATTAAATGCTCTTCCGTGCAACTAAACCAACGTTTTCTAATTATGGAAGACTTAGAAAGATGGTTTCTTTGCAAGAAAATAATCTCATTTATACATTAAATTAAGACAACAACAAAGACTATTTACATATATCAGAAATCGTTTTTAAAAATATAAACTAAACCATGAAAGAAACCAAACCTAAAAAGAGCAGAACAACAAAGAGGTTGAAACATGTTCTTCTCTTAGGATGTGCATGGTGAAGTAAACTAAGTGAAGAGAGATAGATCGAAACCTGAGTGAGCAATGCAAGCTGCTCGACGCCGAAGTAACGAGAGGCGGCGAGAGTATCAAGAGCAAGATCGACGGCGGCTGAGCAATGGGTGTGCCAACATCCTCTCTCTCCACAGTTAGGTCTCGGTTCATGTTTCTGCGGCACGATCGAGACTTGTCCGCTGTAAAGAAACTGAAGCAGCAACATAAACACCTCGTAACCGACGGAGTTCACTGGTATGACTCCAGCTGGGGCCGGGGAGCCTCTTGTTGGGCTAGCGGGTACTGATCCATGTCGGGACGGGTCTATGCCTGTGCCGGATTGTGGTGAGTCGGTCCCACAGAAGAATTTTCGGAAGAAGAGACTCCGGGCGGCGAGGATGCAACGGTGAGCGTGGACTAGACGGCCTTCGACGCTGAAGGTTACGTCGGAGAAAGCTTGACCGTTGATTAGAAGGTTTAGGAAATCTAACGACAGAGATCTAAGGGATTCCTCGAGGCTGCTCATTTCTTGATTCTTGAAAGTCTCTTTTGATTAAAAAGTTAGGGTTTAGCAAGAAGTTTTCGGCACAAAAAAAATAGTTGCCTCCTTTAATTAATTGCGTTGGCTGACGAGAGGATGAAGGGTATGGATTATCTTTTGTATTTTAGAAAGGAGAAAAACATTTACCAGGGAAAAAAGCTTAAGCTTCTATGATCTTTTGAAGCGTTTTGCTCTTCTATGAGAGAGAGAAAGAAGGATTCTTATGCTTTGTAGTCTTAGATATTGTGTGTGTGTGTGTGTGAGAGAGAGAGAGAGAGAGAGTGGATAAACCGGCTCACACATTTAAACCAGGTTACTTAAAAACGGTTAACTGTTTGTCTTGATAGCAATTAAAAAAGAGGTTTAAAGCATTAATGGGGAAATTGAGTGATTTGGTTACCAAAAGAGGAAAACTAATTAGTAAGGAGTAAAGAAGAAAGGGTGGGCCATATCTACTAATGGAAATAGCCAAATAGGTACTTATAAATAATGAGCATCATTAGCATCTCACTAATCAAAATCCTACTAACCTTTATTTAACAATAAATTTCCATAACAAGACGTATTGTTTAAGTAGGATAATATAATAAAACCAAAACCCTCGGCAATTGTCTTTTTGGCATGACACAGAACATGTGAAAGCCTGAACAACAAACAACACGGGTATACTATGTAACCTAATTGTATGTGTATACAAGGATGTGTATGGAGATGGGATAAAATGGTAAAAATGAGAGGAAGGTGATGGATAAGAACATATGCCTAATTGAGTAAAAGACAGATGGAGTGAAATAAATTTCCTCACTGTAGTGAATTCTGAT